TTAATAATAGAATTTGGAATTTTTCTTTTCAACGCAATGCGTTCCTATAGGTCATGTTGTCACTTACAGGGTTTTGTGCTGGACAGTTTCCACTTTCACTCATTCTTGCAAAGACTACTGCTTTGGAAGGGGTGGTTACGTTGCACCAAAATTGTGATGCTTCATCGATTCGACACCTTTCCGTAGTTTGTCCCACATTGTCCCCAACTCCAACTCACCGTTTCACATGCGCGGTTCCAATTCTCCCAAACTGTGATCGCTGTGAGCTTGTGCGTATTGTATGTTCGATAGTGGACGGCTCCGATCTGTACTTAGTCATGAAATCAATGTGATATTCATTTGAAATAAGGTTATTGTGAAATTCCTTGTTTTGTCTTCTTAATTTTCCACATCGTTTCTTGCCAGATTCTTCAAGCTGAAGAGCGTGTTTTGTACTAAGTTTCATTTGCGCTCGTATGTATGGTCACTATTCGTTGATGTACATGTTTGAGTGATGATGTATGAAATGTCATAAATGCAAGAAAATTAACAACTTTACAACAGTACAAGAGTGATAACTATGACAATTCATGGAATAACTTCATAAAAAATCACAGGCTTAATAGTTCAACATTGTTAGTTCTTAATAAGTCATCTTCAGGTGAAAGCTGTAATGGTTACGTGGAAGAGCATCACTAGCAGTTCAACATACACATTTTTACTCGTTCACTCATGTGTCGAGAGATAAAACTCTATACTACTTCCATGTTCTCCATTAAACAGCTCAAGAATAATTATAAAGTTAATCCTGAGAAGCCGAGTGTTTTTACTGTGATCACAGTATATATCACAAATAACTCTACTCATCTGCAAGCTTTAAAGTAGTATGAATATGGAACTCCCATTCTTCGAGTAACGCTCTTCTACACTGTTTTTCCTATGCCCGATCCTAGACATGAAAACAGGGAAGTATAGGTGTCTTCGAACATCGCAACGAGGTATAAGTACGTAGATCATCACCCGTTTTTGGATCGACATCCAGCAAAACAAACATTTTAAGCATCTCAGAGGATGCACTAACTTGATATGAGCTAAGAATAGTCCAGTATTTGGGATATGTAAGACTGAGCGATAGATATTAGCTCAAATTAGACATCAGTCCGATTATCCTGTATTTTGCAACATCCCCGGTCTTGTCGGAAACATGTCGCACCAACACAGCCCACCCACGGACGTCCAATTTCTGTCGCATCCAAAAATGACGGCTCCACGACTACCTGAAGTGAAAGCTGAGTTCAGAGCAAGTGATACATACAAATAAGTTACTGTAAAAAAAACCACAAACCTTTTGCGCACCCGCTCTTGATAATACACTCGTTACGTTCTGACTAACTTCAGAATACCGTGCAGCCGCTTCATCTGACCAACCAGATTTCGATTTGTCCACCTATAACAAGAGATTAACACCACTAGTGAAGATTCTTTCGAATGAGCTTAAGCATTATGGAATGATCAAATCACTGCTATAGGTAAACTTGATTGGAACCTTTCGGTCTTCTTCTGCA